GATTAATAATCATGCTATACAGGTGGAAGTGGATATTATTCATGTCTCACAATTTGTTGCAATCAATCAATCAATCATTCAATTTATAATGTGTATTCTAACAGTCATTGTTTGTGGCACTATTTAAAACAGAAAACATAAGCATCAATTTAAACTTTCTTTAAAACAAAATCAAATTTAGAGACCCTGTGATATATCTCTACCCCACTATACCTGGGGTCCGAGCCTTTGGTCAGCGGACCCTGACCAAGGCTCTTGTCGTGAAATCCCCCCGCCCAGCATGTCGGACCCATTCAGGAAATTTCTGGAGCCACCACTGCCTGTAATTCCCAATTTTGTAAGGCCTGCACACCAACTATTTTCAATTTGTTTGGCACCATTCGCTAGCTTGAGGAGTAGTCTTTATTTCCTTTCTAATTAGGCATTTAAGCTCAGGTTACACATTAACACCTGTGCAGGTGTGTTTCATTATCTGTAATATATATTTACTTTAACAATTACTGTACTGAAAACTCTATGACCCCTACATATATAATACATAATCATAAGAATATTATAGGATCGATGATACAACCAATCATATTACTATAGAAACAATCGCTAAATATCTACAATAATCTTGTGCAAATTATTCACAATGTTAACTCTGGGATATTTAAAATAAAATTCTTGACCTATGTTTTTGTTTGTACTAATCTGATATTATAATTAATTAAGACTCTAACGAGCTTTTTAAATTGTTTATTGTTTTGCTGACAGTGATAACACTGGGAAGCAGTTTCTTCTGTTCTATATATTCTCCCTGCATGCCAAGCGACTGCCTCGTTACTTTCACTTTGATATTACTCAAGTTGAACACGCCAGGTTTCGAAAAGCACGCCAGCAGCTGAATTTGATGACTAGTCTCTTGTGCGAGTGTTACCTGCTGCGATACTCGTCTCACCCACACAAAGTCCGATGAATTTGGGGGCTTGGGGGTGACATAGTAGCCACTGGAAGAATCAGTTCTAAACAGAATAGAGCAAACATTTTATCAAACATTGGAATAATTATTTTACTGCTGGGAGATTGCACATTCTTCTGTATGTGAGAATACCCCCTAAAAATAATGGAACAGTCAGCCACTAGCAGCAGTACTTATGATGGCATCTCTCGTCAATTAAGACAAATGAGCGTGATCTTAGCACCAGTGAGCCCTGTTGCGAAGATGGTCTGATATGCGACATACACCAAATAAATTCATATACTCTATATATATTCTATTTAATGACATTTTTAATTTTAGGAGAATTTGCAAAAAAAATGGTTTAACCAACTTAGCATTCACAAAAATTAAGAATGAGTATAGGGATTGATATAAAGACATGACTGGAAATATGTTTGGATACTTACGGTGTATTGTCCTGAGCTGTATCAGTATCTACTTGTACAGACAGTTGCATGTCAGCGCAGTTGCATAGGTGTAATGTGACAGGTACAGTACACAGCCTATAAAAACCCACAATTATTAGGTATAAATAATGATGATGATAAATATAACAGCAGCAACAAAAACAACTACAGCCATAAACCTGGGAACCCAATACGTTGTACAACAGCTGTACCCAACAAATACACCTCTGCTCTGTGTGAGCACTTGACAACACTCTGCCGTCAGTCAATTATTGGTCAATAATCCTCAAAAACCATTCCTTGCACGCATGTCAACAAGTTGCATTCTCTATGTAATCATATCAGCTGACAACCATTGGATGCAGGTGTGTTTGGCTTAACAGTAAGTTATATTTTATATAAAATAATAAATAAAAACAGTAAAATTAGTAAGTCACTCTTGATATCATTTTATCTTTTCATCAGCAGTGGCAGCATAAATTTGCAGACAAGGGGTCCGAACCATGCCGACGAAGTCTCGGTCGACAGCCCGGAATAGTAACTCCCTTGTAGGGTTCATGGGGAGAGATTTATTGCTTAGTTTGGTCCTAAGTGTGTTTTTAGACCACAATATTAGGGATTGCCATTCAAAATAACGTTATTTGGACAGGAAAATTATTTTTTAAAATTTTTGGTAAGGGTCCAGGCCTGTCCTGGGGAATGCACCACCACTGATTTTCATATCCATTAATAGGTAATGCTTTTTCATTATAGCCAATTATTTTGGGTACTGAATGGAAAATATGATACTTGAGAGTCAAAAAATGCCATTCTTCCTTTGGATCAATGTTTTTCCGACTCTTTACATAATTGATCCTTTTAAAGAAGTAATTCAATGTTTAACTTCAGTGTGCGAGGTTTTTGTGTCATTACCGTTTTCGGGTGAAATCATGTTCTTTGTGGTCTGGATGTTGGAGACTACACTTGATTAGTTGTATCATGACCGCTGAGCTTGGTTCAGTGCCGTTATTCACATCAACATCCTTTAAGAATCTCACTGCTTTCTGTTCAACCATTCTCTGAAAATGTGAAATACCATTAGCAACATCGACAGGAGGGCATGGAGGGTGTAAGGCCCCTCCAAAAAACCCAAAAAAAGCTTGTGTGCCCCGCTCCTGGGAATTTGCCAAGAAAAAAATATGCTCAAGTAATTAAAAATCCCCTCAAATCACATTATTTCGCCAGCTAGTGCCTCTCACTTAATCATCGAGACCCTCTAATCAACATTTGCGCCCCTCTCATTAGCTTCTGCTTCCATGACAATATTACTAAAACTGTGTCAATAGAATTTTAGATTAAATTGACACTCAACAAAAATTTCAATTTAAAAATAATAATGTATTTTTAAACACAAACTTACCTGAGCTGTTGGAATTGTAGATATCTGCTGATCCAGCATTGCCATGGTTACATGATGCTGTCCGACAAACTTATGACTAATACCTGCCTCGTCAACAACGAATGCCTGCAAAAAAATACAATTTAGAAATCCTAAATTTGGTCTTTGTTGGCTGAGGCATTGCTTATCGCACCATGCTATGACTAAACATAGGCACCCGTCCAAAGCTTATGTTGTATGAGTACGGTACTACATGATGGTAAGACTAAAGACAGACATCAGATGAATGATCAATGGCATATTGCAAAATGTTGTCATAGCCCAGTTGTGCAAAGTAAAATCTGTTCTGAATTTATGCTTAGCTAAGCCCTCCCCTCCCCTCCCCCCCACATTTCAGGTGTGTAAAGGGCATAGAAAGTTAATCCAAATCCTACAGTATTGTGACGATTGTTCAATTTTCTTTGTTTCTGTTGTGCATATTGTACTGCTTCTTTTCAATTGTATTTTATCATTAATGGTTAGTTTATTCCTTATTCTGTAAGTTGCGGTCTTGAATGAAAAACTTAAAAAAAAAAAAAAAATAAACAAAGTACAGTAAACATAAATGAAATATATTGGCAAATACAAACCTTCCAAAGCACCAGTAATGTCAAATCCACTTCTAGAGCGCCCTCTAGTAATTGCTTCAAAGATGTCCCTTCGTTATTCTGTGACGTATATGAGCCTTCTTGAGGTTCTGACTCTAAATCATTTAATTTTAATTTTGAACGGAAGTAGAAGTCGGAGCAGGGACTCTCAAAACTCATAATCTGAAATCAATGCAAGAAAAAAGATGTCATAAAGCATTAAATTAATATTTAAATCTATATTTAGACTTTTAGATTTAAATTAATATTTAAATCTAAAAGTCTAAATATAGACATTTATTATCTCCATTGGTGGAGATTTTCAAAATGAGACTTCAGCCGGGCATTCACTGGGATTGACAATCCAACTCCGCCCCTGTGAGCACTAAACGACATGATACCGTCTGCTGATTGTCGGTGCTGTCTGAACGAATCGTCATTATAAAACGATCCATTGTGTGTGTGTTTTAGCGTTGCATCCTCCATAGAATCGCATCGGCTGACAACTGTTGGCTGAATTGAGGGCATGGCTTTAAAAGTCACCTTTTCAGCCCCATTTACTGTTTTCTTTCTGTCTTTTACTTCTGTTTTTGTTTTCTGTTCTTTCCTCTGTTATCTGCTGTTTCTCCTTTCTTTCTTTTGTCCCATTTTTTTGAGAACTCTCCAAATTGGCACATTGAGACTTTGTAATGTGTAATATAAGTTGAAGTTTGGATTGGAATGTGCAACCTCCTAAACACCCATGAAATGTATTCTAGCTGTGCTGCACTTCACTGCATCACTTTACTATCCTACCCGGTACCTATTACTAATATGTGAGATGATGAAATTATATTATGCATATTGATAATTCAAATAGGTGGCTTACCTTTTCTTTTCCTAGGACACCGTCAGTAAACACAACTTGATTGGCGTCTAGCTGACCGATCTGCTTGCAATGCTGAGCTTTTAGGCAACAGATTACCGATTCACCACCACTGATCTTAAACTCTGTCAAGATACATGATTTTATTTTATTCATAGGACAGGAGTGCCAAAAAGGTGGAGGAAGACAGGAGGGGTAAGTGCCCTGGGACCTAGGCCACATGGAGTCCCTGGATCAATAGTCAACCAAAAAAGTGATGAAAAAAATGTCATCCATTTGTAGTGACAACTACTCTATAATTGTTTAAATTAGACCCTACTTAAGCATTGCAACCTGCCGATGCTGGGCCCCAAGTGGCCCCAGTTCTCACCGTTGGGCCCAGGCAACTGCACATCTTATACCAGAATAAGATGTTTCCAACACAAAGAATATTACGTATAATTGAGGGCGCTGCTTATGAAACAATCTTACCTTGTTTTTCTTTGGTTGCTATGTGCTCCAATGCCCATGTTTTACTTACACAAGTAACTTGTTCCACACTAAACTCTGTAATGTTAGTATCATGCACCTGTGATAAGAAATAAAAAACAATACAGTTATTTTACAATTTCACTCCACAGGCCTCATAATGAGACTTAGTTTAATAGAGCATCACCACGTGGTCATCAGTCTCTCGCAGCTGAATGCAATCATAATGCACATTACCTGGTTCATATTTTCTACTTGCAGACTGACTACGAGACTTTGATTGCCTTGGTTATGTTCTGGTATATGTCCTCTAGTGGCTGTTGCCTTCAAACACAGTGAGTGGGTTGTGTTGATCACTGCAGAGTGCCTTAGTACTCTGTGTCTGCAGGTTAATAAAAACCAAAAATATCAAAAGCCAAACAAACATAGTTCTTTGTAGTATATATACCTGAAAGTATGTTAATTATGTGAATT